CCCCAAAACCCCAAAACCCCAAAACCCCTAAATGCTTATCAAATATTGAAACTAACTATGAACTTGGGCCCTGACTTCTCTCTGTAAACGGGTTGTTCAGGTAAATCCTTGCAGGTCTGAAGGTCTTCTCCACAGTTGACCTAAGAAAATCTTCCAAATCATGAGAATTATCTATAAAAGGGAGTACGACACCTTACTTGTGAGTCCTAAGTGTGAAACTCTGTTTGTGAGCATATTCCTACCCTGATTCTTACTCAATGCCTTTGCCAAAGAGTTAGTCACATTCTTTGAAGAGTTCTGCTGTATAGCTTGTTCTCCACTTTGACTTATTTCATGACTATTCTCGTGAGAATTACTTAAAACTCTTGAGTAATTTTTGGAATATTTAAAAAGGCTTGCTTTTGAAAGTTTTTGTATCATCTTAAAATCTTTATCATTCTGAAAATCTGCTGAATACTGCACTGAAGAGCAATGACCTAGAGCTCATAGAGGAATCCTTACCAAAACCAGTATGAATATCTGCATTTTGCTGGTTTTCTTTCGAAAATCGATCTTTATTCTTCTCAAAATGTTGGTCTTTAAAAAACGGATTTTCATATACCTTCACGCACTGTTTCGCTCAATCTTGAGCTGAGAACGTAGATCGAGCATGACGTCTTCTAGCAACGGTATTTCGTTTTAGCTCGTTAGCCTTCTCCCTATAATTTTCAACCAAGAATTTACCTAAACTTTTTGTTTCTGAAAAATAAGCTATTTTTTGAATTTACAAAAGCAGCGTGATCTTTTGAGCATTTTGGGGGATTTAGAAGATTTGCTGAAATTTTGAAATTCCTTTTTGTCGATTTATGGGAAAGATCCTTCCTGCTTGTTGAAACTCAATTATTTGGAAGCTCTGGGTAATGTGGCTTAGTAGTCAGCTTTATCGAGCTATTTGGTGAGGAATGAGTCTTACTTCCGGAAATTTGACTGTGGAGCTGCTAGTAAGTTTCCGGTGTTAATCACTGAGATTACAGATTGTTTTCGAGTGATATGCCTCTTCTCTTCCATATGCTTCGAGTGCCTTCTTGTATGGATTCGTGAGTTTCTTGTAGACTCGTTAAGCAAATGTTTTGAGTTTTCAAAAATATCATTTCTAAAATAGTCAGACCTGGTTACTGAAGAAAGTCCGTATTAAGCCAAGGGATTGATCTATCACTTTCATGTAGCATACTCTTAGTCTCCTCAGTAATCATTTTCATTTTCTAAACTAATATCACCACCTACATTCTCTTGCTCCTTCCAAGATTTCTCCAGATGAATTTCTTTCTCTGAATTAATCAAAATTTTCTATGGATAAACAAGAATATACAGCTTTTTGGGTATGTCTGAATTTCCTCAGTTTCTTTTTTAAGACATAGGGACTTCTTCCTTCGGGCTCTTCAGTGGGCTATTCAATGGGCTCTTTAGAGGGCTTATCTTTCCAGAGGATTTCTGTGAAGATCTTAAAGGAGAGGCCTTAAGTCTAGAATTAAAATTGGAGAATACATGAAACTTCCTTTTGAGTTCTTACGGAAAGATGAGCCTTTACTTGAACTATGCCTGCTTCGTGGCTTCTTTGAAGGAGATAGTGAAGTCTACAGTTTTGGTGCTGAGTTACTTTATTAACTAAATTATGGTTATTTTGAGAAACCTTACTTGCCCCTTTACGTAGTATCCACCGACTTTTCCTTGCTTCTATGCCGAGTTAAGTATGCTCAAAAGTCAAAGGAACGAACCTGAAGTTGGTTTAGATATATTCTGATTGGTACTATTGCCCATTGAACTTCTCAGAGGGGGTTTAGAAGTTGGCTCACCGCCAAATATTTCCTTATAAATAGCTATATTTTCAACAAGTCTCTGTAATTTCCAATAAAAATCAGTCTTGAAGCCTCGATTCATCCGTAAGTTGATTGCATTTTGGACGTTTGAGTCTTTATTTATAACTAAAATTAAATTTCGTAAATTATTATGAAACTGAACTCTTGAGAGGAATAAGCAATTGGGTTAGTATTTTAGTATTATAGAGCTTCCCCAAGCATTTTAAGCAAGAAATACAGATATTAGGTTAGCATTTTAGATATCATAGTAACTAGGGTGCATCAAAAACTAATAACGAATTATACCTTTATTTGCGAGTAATCGATTTTCTGTGATTCAAGAAATTTATTTGAACGCCAGGCTATAAGAATCCGTAAGAATCGTTAGAAGGGAAAATAGGTTTGATCAATTATAAAAAGAAGATCAATCCAATTTGACATAAAATTTAAGTTACTAATAAAACCAAGATTTAAAAAATAACAGGATCTTCTCAAAAATGTCCTTACTTATCCCTGTCATTTTCATTAAAAAACTGCATTTCTCCAACCTTCAAAGGACTGGTCTGTACCCTAAACTCTCACTCACCCGCTTACTTCTTCAGTTTCAACGATCCTATCGACGTATCTAAACTCTATACCTCAGACTCCAACCCCACCTCCTTCTTCTCAGTCAATTGTTGTTTTCCTGGTCTCCCTATTTCACCATCTCTACACTATAAAACCCTAAAATCCTGCCTGTTGCCTTCATTCCTCCTCGAAGTATCCTGTTTTGCCTTGAGAGTTCCCTTCCTCAGGCCCAATCGGTCACTTTTCATTTCTGAATAATATTTTAAGTTTAGCAAAAGAATTTGATAGTTGGGGTTTTGGGGTTTTGGGGTTTTGGGG